ACACACACAAGTTGATAGAAGCTTGAGCAGTGGTGATTGATTGCTTGGGCAGAACCTCAGACAGTGTTTGTCCAGTCTGGCAAAATGCAGACGGATGGACTTCAAGAACTGCACGGCTGGTCGGGGAATTCTGGGAGTTGAAGTCCAACACAGGGGCCAAACTTGACTTCAGCCGTTTCTTCCAAGCTTCAGAGGCGAAGTTCGCACAGAGTCTGTCCCTTCTCCCATCTTGCCTGGGCCCCAGGAGCAGAAAGAAGGTTGCAGCGTGGTCACAAGGCGTTGTACTCCACACATTTGGACGGATCGGTGGAGAAGTGCTTCTGGCAAATGGTCATCAGCCTCTTCAAACCCTGCGGAGACAGGCGCAAAGGAGGAGGTGGGCCCTTATGTCCCTGGAGCCCAAGTGTTCTGGCCTGCTCCCCAAACACAACAAGCACACCGTTTGTAACCAAATGTCCCCTCTATTAGGAGTGCCAGCAGCCCTGAAGTCTAAGTGCCTGGGGAAAGCGAAGTTCGCTCCCCCTTCTGAGTGAAATGGCCCCAACTGTCATGCCCCTGTCGGAATCTGATTCGGAGGGGGAGGCCAAGCAGCTGACAGGGAGTGGGAGTGGGGTCCGTTGGCTGTGAAGGAAACTGGGGAAGGGCAAAGTCCGGTTGGGCAGAGCAGGGAAGAGGTAGAACAAGGGAGAGGGAATTTGGAGGAAGACTCAGGCCCACCCCCTCTTCATCCGAGGGCATGCAGGGAGGAACAGAGAAGGGAGCAATGTGGGTTGCGTGGCTTACGGGGGAGGAAAAGGCCCTGATTCCCTTCATTAGCTGCAGCTGGGAACACGGCGTTTAAAAAGGGAAGCTGCGCGCAGCAAGATGTTGGGAGCAAATCATGAGTTATCTTTTATTGTCGAGGCTTATCTGAATTTCTGGAATCTTCCCAACTGTGTGTATTTTGCTGGGCTTTGAAGTCTGCAATTCCTTCTCCTGCCCTGTCAAGTTAATTACTGCAGCGTGGTTTGTGTGGATTTTTATTTACAGTTTGCATATCCTTTGTTTTTGGACTGAATTTCCTCCACTTAAAGGCTGTTCTTGGGAGAATTTTTTCTCCAGCTGAAGGTAACTGGACATTGGGACAAAAATTGGAAGTACTAAAGGGACTCTTCTTACTTATGTAACTGTGTTGCCTTTGTGCCATGCCCCTTTTGGGTCATCACACCAACAGAGTCTCTCTTTCTACCTGGGAGTCTTGGAAGGCGAGTCCAGCAGCAGACACACACACACACACACACGTGCAGAAACTCCAAAGGCGTGCTTGACTCTCAGCACCGCAGATTCCAAGAAAGAATTCCGTTAAGTTACCCACAGGATTCAGAAGTTCAGAATATCAGTGACTAACCGACAGGGAGACGAATAGTTGTCTGCCACACCTATTCCTCTCCGCCCCCTGCCCTTTATCCCCAGATGGGGCTTCACTAGCAGCAGTGGCTCTTCTGTTCCAAGGACCGGCTCATAGATTTCCACTGCTCTCCTCTCCTCTGCACATCCTTGTGTCAGGCACTGGGCCCAGCTGTTCCTCCTCTTCCTCATCAGCCACCTCCAGACCTGGGGGCTGTTGACTCTCCATCTGAGGGCTGACAGACAGCCCAGGTTCCATAGGTCTGGAGGTGGCTGATGAGGAAGAGGAGGAGATATATATATATCCTCCTCTTCCTCATCAGCCACCTCCAGATATATATATCTCCTCCTCTATCCTCATCTTCCTCTTACCTGGATGTATTTCCTCTGAGTCTCGTCGTTCAAAACGTGGGCCACGTGCTTGGAGAAGATCTTCTCACGACCAGTACGGGCATGGATGCCAACCATGGTGACGCCAATCGGCCAAGGCGCGTTCCCAATTGCCATCTGGAGATAGGCGTCATTGGCCTGCAGAAACAGCCCAGTCAGTATCGTGCGAGGCAAGGCAGACCCTGGAGGTTGGACAACCACCGGTCTGAAATGGTAGAAGGTTTCCTTCTTGAGCAGGGGGTTGGACTAGAAGACCTCCGAGGTCCCTTCCAACTCTTGTTATTCTGTTAAGCAGCAACAATTTCGAAGTTCTACTCTTCAGAAACAGGTGGACAGTCCTAAACTCTGAAGAAATTTCTGCCCCATTCTAAACTTACATTTCCTAACTAGAGAGAGAGATAGAAAACCGGGCGGTACCTTCACGTATTCTCTTTGCAACATGAACTTGATAATATCTGTGATGGATTCCTTGATGTCTGCAGGCAGAGTCTAAAAAGAGACAAAGCACAAACCCCGAGTGAGGCAGAGCAACATATGGCAATATGGAAAGGGTTGTGGTTGTTTTCTGTTAATTTCTTATCCAAAGAAGAAAAAAACCTGAATTAAAGGCATGGTTGATGGCAGTCACAGATGGAAATGTTTATTTTAAGCAGGTAAGAAAAAGAATTATCTCTTGTATTTCCAAAAAAAACCAAGAACACCTCCCTATAAAAGTAATCCTTGACTTGCAACAGTTCGTTTAATGACCGTTTGAAGTTATGTCACTGAAAAAAATGACTTAGGACCGTTTTTCACACCTATGACCGTTGCTTGCAACCGCTTTTCTTTTCTTCAATAATCCTTTGAAACTGTGCACCAGACTTGTCTTCGTATTGTGAATATACATTTATTGGGGGGGGGGGGTCTTACATCTCACTAGGTGACTGAAGTTTCTGCCACGCAAAATTCTAACTGGAGAGCATGATTGAGGACTCTGGGCTATGGAGGTGTCCCATTGGAGAATATGAATTACGATACACCCAGGGGGTGGAGGGAAAACCAGGCTCAAGGGTGACAATGAATTATGTGCCACAGAGTCGGCAACACCCAGGCAATGCCGACATGTTAACTCCCAATAAATTCTTTGGAAGTTTTGGAAGTTTGGCTCGAGACTCATGATTTAAATGGGGGGAACTGCCGGAATCCTAACACTACTTTTTTTACAAAGGAAAAAATTATAACAGTCGATATTATGCAAGAATACCCAGAAAAGAGAGAAGGGGGAAGGGGGGGAAATAATCTTGCAGGCGTTACCCTTTTCCGGAGTTTTCTGAAGAGAGGTCTCAGGTATGACTCTGTCTGCTTCTGGGTCGCGCTGTTCAGCTTCCCCTGGACGCCCCGTTTCAAATAATCTTCTCTCGCGTTCAGGTCCTTTGCCCAAACTCCAAGAAGAAACTAGAGACAGGCGGAACCTGGTTAAGCTACAGACTAACATAAGTCTCGGTACATTTCATCCAGAAGCCAATCGGAGCTCCCTTCCCAAGGGGGGGGGCGCTCTAGAGGTGGGAATCTCAACCCCCATAATCCTCAGCCAAGTGTACGCCAACTTGGGAGCCCTGGAAGTCAACGTCTCTAAAAGGCACCCAGGCTGGGGGGCGGGGGAGATTAGCTAGGGCAGCATACTAAAACCCACATTTAAAAAAAAAAAAATGCTTGGATCTGTTGGGTCTGTGAGCCTTTAACCAAGAGAGGTTAATAAAATTCTTTATATCAGCAGAGGCAATAAAATGCAATTTGAGGTCCAAAAATAAATCCCAGGGAAAATGTTTGTATACTGAATTTATTGTAAAGATCCATCAAAAACCGTTTGTTCATAGTTATAAAAAGTGGTATTATACAGAAGGATCGTAGATGGGCCGGGGAAGATGTCAACTCATAAAATATTTCCGTGGGCTTTTTAGAGTTGCCAACAGAGAGGGAGCGGGGGAAGGGGGTTTGAAAGAGCAGTGCGACAGCTTGGAAAGTGCATTCCATCAATAGTTTTTCAAAGATATGGTAGTAACTAGGTGACTGAAGTTTCTGCCGTGCAAAATTCTAACTGGAGAGCCTGATGGATGACTCTGGGCTATGGAGGTGTCCCATTGGAGAATATGAATTACGATACACCCAGGGGGTAGAGGGAAAACCAGGGTCAAGGGTGACAGTGAATGATGGGTCTCAGAGTCAGCTACACCCAGGCAGTGCCGGACTGTTTAACTCCCAATAAATCCTCTTGAAGTTTTGGAAGTCTGGCTCGAGACTCAGGATTTAAATGGGGGGTCACTGCCAGAATCCTGACAGATATTTCCAGAATAGAAATAGCCCATTTTCTGTCATCTCTCAACGAGACAGCAGAAATCTCCTCAAAACTCAAGACGACACTGAAGTTTGATAGAAGGTAGTTTTTAAAGTAGCCCGTGATTCTATTCCTTTGCTTAAATTCCTACCGGCAATTTCTGAATATTCACCCCAATTGAAATATCTAGCAACGTCAAGTTCTCAACCCTAAAAATCATACAGGTGTATAAAATCAAGATTCTCACAGCTTATCAGCAGGTTTACAGTTTTCAGGGATGTCTTGTTTGGCTTTTTACCTTCAAGAATTTAGTGATGATATCCATATCTTTATGGTCATCACCCCTACCTAAGGATTCTCCCAATGCCTGCGACGAGAGAGAGAGAGAGAGAGAAAAAAACAGATTCAGATATATTTCCAACAACAGACCATGATACAAATATCCAAAACTCAAGGACATTATATTTTAGGGATGAGAATCAATGCAAGCAAGGATGTTCTGGGCCTGGAGAAGACATTCTTCAGTTCTTCTACTACTTTAAAAAGTTGGGACCTTTTTTCCAACTGTTTATACAGTACAGTATGTGAGCCACAAAGATGATTAGGGGACTGGAGGCTAAAACATATGAAGAATGGTTGCAGGAATTGGGTATGTCTTAGTTTAGTAAAAAGAAGGACTAGGGGTGACAATGATAGCGAGGTTCCAATATTTGAGGGGCTACCACAAAGAGGGACCGAGTCAAACTATTCTCCAAAGCGCCAGAAGGCAAGAGAAGAAGCAATGGATGGAAACTAAACAAGGACAGAAGCAACCTAGAACTAAGGAGAAATTTCCTGACAATTAACCAATGGAAAAACTTCCCTCCAGAACCTCCATCGCTGGAGGTTTTCAAGAGATTGGATAGACATTTCTATCCAATGGGACATTTTGCCAATTTTGACATTTCTATTGGACATTTTGCCAAATCAATATAATAAAGGGAGTGCATATTTGATTTTGCATGTACTGACTGCAGCCAGAATTGTATTTGTGCAACAATGGAAAGGCCAAGAGATCACAACAGACAAAAATGCGATTAAAAAAAATACTGGAATGTGCAGAATTTCTTAAAATTAATTTAATTTAATTTTAATTTCTTAAAATTAAAGAAAAGAAGGAAACGGAATACTTTTTGACTTGGGACTTATTTTATCAATGGTTAGCTGGAAAAAAAAACAGGAGCTAAAAACAGGGAAATAGATGGATAGGATCAGTGATATAAGCAAGGCGTTGAATTGGTTAAGAAAATAATATTGTAATTATTATTATTATTGATACTCTTATAACGAACATCAATGTAATGAATATTGTTGCAAACATTTTGATTATTATAGCCTAAAAATATGTGTACCCAGACAACACACCGGTTGAAATTGGAATTTTTATATGCTGTAAAAAATAAAAATAAAAACTTGGAACGAGAAAAGAAGAGGTTGGACAACCCCTTTGACCGGAATGGTATAGGATTTCCTGCTCAAGCAGGGGGTTGGACTAGAAGACCTCCAAGGTCCCTCCCAACTCTTGTTATGGTATTTTATTCCACGAACCTGAGAATAAAAATCTTTCCAGAACACATTGATGACAGATTCTCATTCAAGTAACAAGATGTTCCGAGAAGTGAACCATGAATGAAGCTGTGGGATACGTCCTGTCTCCTGAAACCTGCCTAAAGTCCAGGACTTGGTTGGCATCAAGGCTGCACTGAATTCTTGACTTGCTTTGCGGGCGAAGAGATAACGGGAGGGGCCCGTTAATGGGCCCTCTGGACTGCATCCCAAGCAAACAAGGCACACCTCGTCAACGCCACAGGAACAGGAATCCCCACAATGCGTCGATTGTGTTGACCCGTTTCTGCCTGTGGCATTGCGCCCAGGGCCAAATGCCATGCCCTACCTCTAGCTCTTCAATGGTCGTGTTCTCCTCGTGGACTTTGAGGTCGTTCTGCGCGTCATCCTCTCCTTGCTCCTGGCCCCCTACAATCTCGTTCAGGTATTGCTGGTCGATCTTATCCAAAGCCGCCTTCAAGTCGTTCCTCAATCCCTACGAGAGGGGAAGCGTTTAAGGAATACGTCAAGTTAACAAAAACGATCTACCAAAGTTCAGACTAGAACTGCTCTGACCGGGGCTCCCCAATAATCACAAAGCCGACTCCTCGTCCCAATGAAATCCCTTTTATTTAGGTTAAAGTGAATTCCTCTCCAGCAAAGTCCTGGCAAACGGTCTTCCGAGAGAGTTCACAATTACAGACCTTTATCAGGCTTGGAGAGCTGCCAGGCTGATAGCTTCCAAGCGCCATGCTGTAGCAGGAATTACTTGGCAAGGAGTCAGGCACAGAGCTTCACCCGAATGAATTGAACTATTTGTCTCCTGCAAAAGCCCCCTCCCCTTTTGCTCCTCTTTATTCCCCATGGGAGGAGCCATTTGCCATTCATCTGAGCCTTTGCTCCCAAGCCGACGCTTGTTCCTTAGCTGTTCCTTCTCCTGGCAGCTCTGTGCATGCGCACCCCGGGAACAGGCTCCAGCTGTTCTTCTTCCCCACTGATCTCTGACTCTGAAGGTAGCTGATAACTGTTAGGTGGCCCTGGCCCCATCTCTGCCTCTGACACAGAGCCCCCACCAGAGCCTTCCCCAGACTCCAGGACTGGCCCAGGTTCCTTCCCAACCTCCTCACTGTCCGAATCTGCCACCAGCTCCACTGGCCACTGGCAGGCCACAAGAAGAACTAGATCATCAAGCTGGTGTACAGGTGGTCTTTGACTTACAACAGTTTGTTTATTGTGACTGTTCAAAGTTGCTACGGCGTTGAGAAAAGAGAGTTATCGACCATTTTTCAGAGTTACGACCGTTGCAACCTCCCCAGAGTCACGTGATCAAAATTGGCAACTGGCATGTACTTACGAGGGTTGCAGTGTCCCCAGGTCACGTGATCCCCTGTTGCAACCTTCGGACGAACAAAGTCCATGGGATTCACTTAAACAACCAGGATACTAACTTACCAGCCGCAGTGATTCGCTTAACAGCTGTGGCAAGAGAGGTCGTAAAACGGGGCCAAACTCACTGAACAAATGTCTCACTTAACAACATAAATTTTGGGCTCAGTTGCGGTCACAAGTCGAGGACTGCTTGGACTTCCAAGCGAACTCAACACATGTCTTCAGCTCCAGTCAAAATCCTGGAGCTACCCAAGATGAACTGCATCAGTTGGCAAGGTGGTATAAAATTTGCAATATACAGGATCTGGCCCATCACAATCTGGACAATTGCAGTGCTCCTGTATCTCTAAAAGCCCATGACAAATATCTGAGGGACACACAAACTGACCCCAGGTTTTCATGAGGGACGAAAAGCAGCACTGTGTAGTGGGGCCAGCAGTGTTCAATTTCATTTAAGCTTTTTATCTCAAATAATTAACATACTCATGATGACTCTGTGTACATTCCTGTTCTGACCCAAACCTTGTTCCAAGGAAACAAACACGAAACGGAGGTAACAGCAAAACCTTTTAATGATTCTTTACTAATTCCGTTCCTTCCCGGTTAAAAGGCTGTTTCAAACTCATTGTCTCTGATAAGAACGAGCCTTGCCAAGGTGGTGCAAGGCTGCCAAGAACACTAGATAAGGTTGCCAAGAAATATTTCAGTCTCCAAACACCAACCAAGATATTCTGAACATCCACAAGGCTTGAGTGCAAAACCTTCTTTGCTTCCTGCAAAGAACTACAGTTTCTCAGCTGGCTTTTATCTCTTAAGGGAGGGGCCATTACCTTGTAGCCTTACTCCCGAGTCGCCCGTGCTGCTGCAGCTGATCTTTCCTTTGAGCAGCCCTGTGCGCACGCACCCTGGGCACAGGCTCCTTGGGGGACTCTTCCTCACTGCTGCCAGCCTCCACAATCTCCGAAGGCAGCACTCCACTCCCTGATGGTCCTGGCCCCATCCCTGCATCACATGCAGGCCCCTCATTGGAGTCCTCGCTCTCCGAGACCTCAGCCATCCACACCGGCGAACCACAACAATTCCACATAAACCAATCCAAATGGGATCTCCCTTAATTCAGATCCTAAGACTTTCTACCAACCAATTCATTAGCAGAGAAAAAGCTTCTTTTCACCAGGGAAGCAAAAAATATATTATAAATCCAATATTGTTTTGGGAATATCGCGACAGATCCTTTAAAGCCATGGAGGGGAGGAACCATTGCCTGGAGGGCTCCTGTATAAACCATTTCGGCGCTGAATCTGCCTTAATGAACAGGCTTACCTTGTTCACTTCCGGAGCCAGGATTTCTATTTTTCGCAATCGCTGAAAGGCATCGTAATCGGTTTCCCCAAACAGCCTGATGGGCTCCCCTCTTTCTCTCAGTCTCCGAATGACCTGAAAAGAGTCAGCAAAAGGCCCAGCGATGAGCTTCTGGAAGGAAGGCAGCTCCATCCAGGTGAGCAGTGCTTCTCTTCCTCTTAGGAACATCGAAGGCATTCAAGGGAAGGTCACAATTGGGGGATTTGACTCAGGAGAGGTTTCAACATGGACGGAGGGGTGGATGGAAGGATGGGGTAGACGATGATAAATAGACAGACAGACAGACAGACAGAGGATAAACAGATAGGTGGTAGAGATAGATAGATGGTAGATGATAGATAGGTAGGTAGATTGATAGAGATGATAGAGATAAAGACAGATTGATAGAGATGAGAGAGAGATTTTAGATAGATTTTAGATAGACAGAGAGATAGATGGTAGATGATAAGTAGGTAGGTAGATAGAGATAGAGATGAATTGATAGAGGGATGATAGATACAGATTGATAAGAGATGAGA